CTGTGACCCCAGGCAAGTTACTGTGTCTCTCTGTAATATCTCCATGTGACTCCAGGCAACTTACTTTGTCTCTCTGTAATATCTCTCTGTGACCCCAGGCAACTTACTGTGTCTTTCTGTTCTCTGAGTGACCCTAAGCAAGTTACTATATCTCTCTATTCTATCTCCCTGTGATCCTAGCAAGTTACTTTGTTTCTGGCTTTACCCTTGTAGTTTGAGGCCGTCACTATCTAACTGTAGGGATGTCATTGTGGGCATCAAAAGGCAGGATGTGCAGAGTGCCCAGGATAGGTCCTGGCACCATGTTGATGCTCCAAAACTGTTAATTCTCTTCCCTCAGGTCCAGGGTCAGTATTGGAAAGTAGGTGGGAGGATCACAGTTGTTCCCAGTTGTCTGGGTGATTTCCTGGCTCCATTTTGCAGGGTGGGCCAGGTCTGCAGGAAGCACGGAGTGCCTATGCTCAGTCAATGATAACTGCAGTTTTCTAAGCACTAAATTCACCTTTCTAATATTATAGTACAGTTGGGAGAATTGGACACTGGAGATGCATCTGTCTGCTTGCTCCCCATCCCTTCGGCCATTCTTATTCCCTCGAGCTATTGGTTGTATGGCCTGAGTTGGGCTCAGGTCCCTTTTCTAATGGCACATCCGCCAGTCTCTAGGCTTCCTTTAAGCAACATTTCCTTCACGCTTGATCCTTGTTCGTATGTGTTTTTTTCTAGTTTAGAAAATTTGCCAAAATAGCAACTTAAATCACTTCACACCCACCAGAAGACCTAACACTAGAGAAATGGATAATGCCAAATGTTCGCGAAGCCATAGAGCGACTGGAACTCTCTTCCGCTGTTGACGCGAATGTAGAATAAATATTCCCACTTCTACCCCACAGTCCAGCGATTTCACTCAGGGTATTTTCCAAGGGTAAATGAAAACATACGTGTATGTCCATAAAAAGATTTGTACAAAATCGCCCTCAGTAACTTTAATCACCCTGGTCAAACATTGGAAGGCCAGGTGTATATCGGTGGGAGAATAGACGCCCGAGTGTCAGTCCGTTTACACAATAGAACCTTCCACAGTGATAGGAGGAGGGAGCTGCTGATCTTTACAACAGTTTGGATGAGTCTCAGAAACATTATGCTGAGTGAGAAAAGCCTTGCACAACCATATGGTTCCATTTAGACAACGTTTCAGAACAAGAAAATGAATCAATGGTAGAAAACAATCAAAACAGTGGCTGCCATTCGGTAGGGAGGGAGGGAGAATGAATGGGAAGGGGTGTGAGGGAACTTTATGGATAGTGATAGGGGTCTCTATCTTGATAAGGTATATGCAGATGATTAGGATTTATAAATTACATAGCATATAAATTTTAACTCAAAAAGAGAACTGGCTGGGCACGGTGGCTCACACCTGTAATCCCAGCCCTCTGGGAGGCCAAGGTGGTTGGATTGCTTGAGCTCACAGTTTGAGACCAGCCTGAGCAAGAGTGAGACCTTGCCTCTGAAAATAGCTGGGCGTTGTGGCGGGCGCCGGTAATCCCAGGTACTCGGGAGGCTGAGGCAAGAGAATCGCTTGAACGAAAATCTGAGGTTGCTGTGAGATATGACACCACAACACTCTACCGGGGGCAACAAGGGAGACTCTGTCTCAAAAAAGAAAAAGAGAGAGAAGAACTATAAAATATATTAAAACAATGATATGTACACAGAAAGATGGGGCAGGGAATGTACTGTTGATACAACTTCCTTTGAAATACATCAACAAATACGGCATGAGAGGTTAAGTGGAGGGTTGACCAGATGGAAGATACATGATAGAGTATAGAAAATGTTGATTGTAGAATCTAGGTGGGAGAAGTATGGTGTTTGCTATAAAACTGGCAATTTTTCTTTGTAATTGAAATTTTTAATAATAAACCGATGGTGGAAAACAACAGCTCAGGTTGGAAAGTGGAAGGCCGCTGATCAGCTGGAACGTATTTTGTTTTTTCAATGGTACAGTGTCCATTGCAGTGGCAGTTTAATTCTAAAATTAAACAGTATTGTAAAAGGTTAACAAAAAAAGTACTTAGCTAAAAGGTCTCTTGGCCAGATTCCCAGCTGACCAAAAGCCCTTTTGAGGTTAAGCTTTTGCTCAGACGCCTCTGAGGCAAGCAGCCCAGACTGGTGGGGGAGGGATAGTGCTCTCTGGGTCTTCCAGATTCTGGGCAGGACCTGAGAAATGGCACTGGCCAGCTCCAAGCTTAGCCCAGAAGCAAGCCCTTTCTCCATGGATGACCTCATTCTGGCACCAGCAACACTGGGAAGCAAGGAACAAACTCTCCCCAAAATGTTTCATTCAGAAATCCTTGAAGGGAGAGTTGAGTGTCATCTTGCCACTGCCCTGAGCCTGCCAGCTCGGGAGCCTGAGAAGCGAATTCTCAGAGGACTGGAGTTCTGCAAGCCTGGTCCAGAAGCTCCTCCATGCTCATGGAAGGGTGACTGGCCAGGGGAAGATTCTGCCCTCTGGCAGTGATCCAGATCTCTCTCTGGCTCTGAAGTGCTCGTTCTTCTCATGTTATAAAGAAGGTCGAGGCCAGGGAGGGACTCACTGGCCAGGCTGAGGCTGCTGAGACAAGTAGCCACTCTGATTTTCCTGAGGACTGGGGATGGGAGCCTCTGGCCTGTTCACCTGCCCCGTCTATCATCATGCTGCAGAGGCCATCAGCATTTCACCTCCTTCCTGGCAGTGAACCTCAAGCCGTCAGTACTCACCCACCAAGTGACTCCTGATGGGAAGTCTGCAGGTTCCCTCCAGCTCAAACATGCAGCCCTTCCAGGAGCATCTTTAGGTCACAGCAGCTGAGAAACAGTAAGAACAGCATATGGCTGCATCTACCAGCCTCCTCAGGGAGGGCTCTGCCCTGACATTTGACAGGAACAGGGCAGGGACAGCGAGCATCCCTTAAACTGCCTTGGAGAAGGACAGGTCCAAAAAGGGGCAAGGTTGCCCGTGATGTGGGGAACTTCTTGTTTCATGGCTGACGGTTGTGGACGGAATGTTTGTGTCCCCCAAAACTCATGTTGGAAGCCTAACCCCCAGAGTGAGGGTGTTAGGGAGTGGGCCTTTGGGAGATTGTTAGGCTTAGATGAGGTCATAAGAGTAGAGCCCCATGGCAGGGTTAGTGCCCTTCTAGAAAAGGAACTGACCCCAAAGAGCTTGCTCTGCCAGGACACAGCAGGAAGGTGGCCTTTTCCAAGCCAGAAAGAGAGCCCCTGCCAGGACCTACCCATGCTGGCAGCCTAATCTTGGCCTTCCTGCCTTCAGAACTGAGGGAATAAATTCTGTTGTATGCTGCCCAGTCTGTGGTAGCCTGTTATATCAGCTCAGACTGAATAAGATCCTAACGTTAATGCCAAAAATGTCCACCACTGGATGGGCTGACATTCAAGAGAGTGTCTGTGTTCATGGTGACTTCGTGGTGACAGAGGCCAGCCGGTATACCGTGCATCACTAGATACCGTGTTGCTGTAGCAACCAGACTCAGATGGGGCCTCGTAGCAGCACAGCCCCTTGGAAGATGTCAGGCCCAGGGCAGCAATAGTGTGCTGTGTCCCGGTGGTATGGCGAGGCAGCCAGATGAAGCTGGTGATTGTCGCCTACCCTCCTTTCCCTGTGTTGGCATCCTGCTGCCACCTCACAGTTTTCTCTATTCAGTTTTCCCTGGTGCGGTCCTCTGCATCAGATTTTCTGCTGGCTGTTCTCTTTGGAGCTTTCTGTGTTAGCCACGATCACAAGCTGGAAGAGCTCTTGATGGGAACCCGAGTCCCTGTGTCAGTAGCATGGGGTGTCCTGGGCTGTGCTGCTGTCCTGGCCAGGCCCTCATGGGGGTGCGTGCTTTGCATTGTTAGGGCAGCGAGGGTTCACCAGGTGGAGAGTGTCCCACTGGACTCAGCGCAGTGCTCCTAAGGGTTCACTGGCCCCTAAGAGCAGGAGGCCCTG